GCACCGAGTCGCCAACGTTTACTAATAGTATTGTCTCGTCACAGTCCAATAAAGAAATAGAAACGAACTCACGTACTTACGTATCACTTCCTAATAAAACTATAAATTTTCAAAATATAACTTTTAATAACTGCAATTTTAAATTTTAGTAGATACTTATTGTTTGCAAATATATGTGGTTTCATTTTTATTCATATTGTATCTTTTCATCTCTAATAATGTTCTCGCTGCTTAGGTGACAAGTTGTATGTGTCACGCGAGAGAAAAGTTATTTCCATCTCGTACCTTGGAATCCCTCGCGACGCTCAGGATTCTAATGTAGAATCACTCGCTAACGCTCGTGATTCAATTATTAGAATCCTTCGCTTACTCGGGATTCAAAATTAGCACTCGCTTGGAAAACCAACTTTCCTCTCTAGTTGAACAAATAACTAATCACCCATCAAGTTATTTACATCAATTAAAAAAAAATTACATCAAAATAATTATTTTACTGCAAACAAAATATTTGCTGAACAAAACTAGTGCTAAAAATAATTTAAAAATGTAAAAAATCTGTAGTACATATTTTCCTCTACTGCTCCACCAAAAACTTGTTTCATTGTACGGAAATATGATTTGAAAATATACCGATTGCACAGCAATTAAATAATATTATTGCACAGAAAATTAACCAGGGATCCGACGCATTAAGCTTTATATACTCATAACAAAATAACTATTTTTGCAACAGGTTTCCCACTAAACATTTTAAAACTTGCTCAATATGGGATGGGATTAGACAACTGATTTTGATGATTATAAAAAAAATGCATATTGGAGAGTTGTCTTGCCCACGCAAAGAAGTGCCTGGATGAATGGTACATTTACCATTTTTAAAAAAAACTATAATGCATATCATTGGACTTGTGACCAGGCTCAAGTATGTGACAGCACCTGTAGAGGCCAAAAATATACCAATCAGACAAAAAAGTAAGCGTGGACGGCCCGCTAGAGCAAGACCTGCTCTAATTACCAAAAAGTAGATGTAACTTGCTGTATCAGATGTTATAGTTGATGAGATCAACTATAACAGTACAGTTGTGTTGTAATTAGTAAATAATGAGGAGCTCGATAGCGCAAGTGGTTAGCGCGTTCGGCTGCAAAAGTTGCTTAACCATCCATCCAATGATGGATGACCAAAAAGTTATTATCTCGAGCTCCTCCGTGCTTCGGAAGGCACGTTAAGCCCTTGGTCCCGGCTGTAACTGCAGTCGTTAGCACCCCCAAACCGCACTCGGCCTGCGTGGTGGGGCATGGCCCAATCTCCCTATTACATCCATAGAGAATGCCTGTGCCCCAGCAGTGGGACATTAATAGGCTGATGATGATGATGATGAACTAAATAGTCTAATTATTTTCTTATGTCAATCAAAATGGTGTTTCACAGGTAAACTGCGGTATGAGATAAAAATATGGCAGCTTTGTTTAAAAAAAATGTGTAATAGATTTGTTGTGAGGTGGTTATTATTAGACATGCATTCTTAAAAAAGATTTAGTTTTAAATAAATAGCGATGCATCGCGAACTTAAATTGTTACTAATATAACCATATTTTGAGGTGATATTTTGCTGTGCAATAAGTATTTTTGCTCAGGATTGGGAATTCATTTTTATACAAAACGTTTCTTTTTATTTGCAGTTAAATACTAGCCAAATTTAATTAACTATTAAAGTGTCAAATTGCACTTTTAGTTTAATGTGTTTAAATCTAAAGAAAATATAACTAGAAAAAATTCCACGCGGACCAGGCAGCAGACGGGACTCGAACCCGCACCCTTCGCAATCCGGGCGAATGCACTGACCAATTATGCTACCGCGGCCCTCACGGACCGCGTCGAAATTCCTTCTAGCTATTCTTAAGCTGCAAGGCAGCGCCATCTCTTCGCATTATAGGTAAACCCACAATGTCAAATGAATACTTTTACAAGTATTAAACATTTGAAAGAAGAAATAGCAATTATAGTTATAATTTTTATTATTTTTAAAGCATGTAACTGCTTGATGTTTAAATCTAAAGAAAATATAACTAGAAAAAATTCCACGCGGACCAGGCAGCAGACGGGACTCGAACCCGCACCCTTCGCAATCCGGGCGAATGCACTGACCAATTATGCTACCGCGGCCCTCACGGACCGCGTCGAAATTCCTTCTAGCTATTCTTAAGCTGCAAGGCAGCGCCATCTCTTCGCATTATAGGTAAACCCACAATGTCAAATGAATACTTTTACAAGTATTAAACATTTGAAAGAAGAAATAGCAATTATAGTTATAATTTTTATTATTTTTAAAGCATGTAACTGCTTGATGTTTAAATCTAAAGAAAATATAACTAGAAAAAATTCCACGCGGACCAGGCAGCAGACGGGACTCGAACCCGCACCCTTCGCAATCCGGGCGAATGCACTGACCAATTATGCTACCGCGGCCCTCACGGACCGCGTCGAAATTCCTTCTAGCTATTCTTAAGCTGCAAGGCAGCGCCATCTCTTCGCATTATAGGTAAACCCACAATGTCAAATGAATACTTTTACAAGTATTAAACATTTGAAAGAAGAAATAGCAATTATAGTTATAATTTTTATTATTTTTAAAGCATGTAACTGCTTGATGTTTAAATCTAAAGAAAATATAACTAGAAAAAATTCCACGCGGACCAGGCAGCAGACGGGACTCGAACCCGCACCCTTCGCAATCCGGGCGAATGCACTGACCAATTATAATGTGTTTTTCAAGTTTAATGGTAGGTGCAAGAAATTTACTGTAAATTAAAAATCATACAAAGAACACCTTGTCCTGAGAAAGAGTTTAAAGGCGAACTAGAAGTCCCTAGGAACTAAAAGTGAATTGAATTGGGAATGTGGATAAATTTGATGCCTAAGCATAAAAACGCTATTTTGGTCCCTGTAAACAGAGAACAAACTACTTAGCACTTTTCGAATAGAAACTTGATCTACTAATACTACATGATGTTATTTCATTAAAGGTATTTAATAGTATTCTCCATAAAACATAACATAATTGCATCTTTACGTTAAGATATGATTTTCAGTTCGGACGCTTAAAAATAATGTTCGAGAAATTCACTCAGTTCTCTATCAATAAAATAAAAAGTTGATAGGTTTTAGCGGCCTGCTGTTATGATACTTACTTGCTTGTTACTTGTTGTGGGCCCCCGTTTCCGCACGTAGACTCATAGTTGGTCCATTGTGCGTGCAGGGTTGATTGGGCTAGCTAGCTCAGCCAGCCCAGCTCCTTCCAGAAGCGCAGTAGTCTCCTGGGACTCTCACAGGCTTCTAGGAGCGTCCTCGGCGTCCCAAGGATTGATGCCCGGTGTTCTGCCACACTCATGCACTCCAGGATCACATGAGCGGCCGTTTCATCTGCTTCTAGACATCCTCTGCACAGAGAACTATCTGTAACACGTATGGTTAGTAAATGCTTATTTAGCAGGCAATGCCCTGTTATAGTGCCCAGCATTACTCGGAGATCAGTTCGGTTGAGATTTAGTAGTTTTCTAGTTAGTCTTGGGTTGAGGCTAGGGAAGATAGCCTTAGATTGCCTGCAGCCCTCGGTGTTGGCCCAGCGGGTGTTATGGCTCTGTATGGTTTGCTGGCGCACCCATGCACGAATTTGGTTAAAGGGTAACGGCAGGAGCGGCTCAGGGCCTTCCACTATATGTGCTGATCCCCTTTTAGCCAGTACATCGGCTGCGTCATTCCCCATAGAGCCGCTGTGTCCCTTGATCCATTGGAGGATAACCTTGTTTTCTCTTGCTATTCGCTCCAATGTTAGGTGACATTCGTATACTAGCCCAGACGTTTTGCTGTTACTGTCTAGGGCTCTTAGGACAGCCATACTATCGGATATTATGCGTATCTTGTAGTTCGTGACTTTCCTGTTGATGACGGCGGTGGCGGCCTGAGTAATAGCTATACATTCACATTGGAATATTGAGCTGTGAGTACCCAGTGCCGTTGATATATGGATGTTAAGGTCTAGGGAGAATACTCCAGCGCCTGATCCGGATCCTGGTATTTTGGATCCGTCAGTGTATATGCGCATTTCGTCTGTGCCGGACCAGTCCTTGTTGGCTTCCTGTAATTCTATTTGATATTTCTTATCAAATGTGTGTATAGTCGGGATTTTGTCACAGCGGGCTATTACAAGGGGTTGGTGTTGTATAGCCCTTACCAAAATCTTGGAGTGAGGTCCCTGGTATCCCGTCCATAGGCCCAGATGGTACATTCTTAGCGCTGCCATTGTTGCCTCTTGCTGTATGAACAGATCAAGTGGCAATAGGTCTAGCGCTATTTCTAGGGCGTTTGTCGGTGTGGATTTCATGCAGCCTGTAATTGCTGAACATGCAAGTCTTTGAAAACGCTGCAGTTTGTTTTTAACGGTGGCTAGTTCGGTTCTAGGCCACCAAACTATTGCACCGTAGGTGATGAGTGGTCTGATTATGGTTGTGTAAAGCCATTTTGTGATTTTTGGTGCTAGACCCCAGGTTTTACCGAGTAGTCGTTTGCACTGCTGTTATGATTGTACGACTTTAGTTGTAGCGTTGTGTAGTTGGTTGGTGAGCGACGACGGCGGTCACGAGATCATGTGGTGACGCGACGCCACAATCTTCGTTGAATTGAAGGAACAAGTTTTAAATTTGCATGGTTTTTACTTTTCTATATAACTCAGAAATGAAAGGTTTCCTTATTATTTTCACAAATACATAATTAGTTTTATATCCTATAGGGACAAATTCCAATGTATATAACATCTACTTCCTTGATTTTGCACCTCCTGGATTGGTTATTCAAAGCCAGCCACGAACTTAGTGAATGTCAGGAATAAATCGATTTTATAGAATATTAAAAACAAGTCACACTACTACCACAACACCGTCATCTCATCTACATTTCGAAACCAGTTCCACTACTCGGGAGCTTGTATTTGTCAAACGCCACAGTTCTGTCTGATACAAAAGTCAGGTGTATTGGGTGGTGGGAAATATTCCGAATAAACGTTTGGACGTCGCTGCAACTCGGATTACGTATATTTAGTCGTTTGGTGCCGATGTCGCGTCGATCACAGGGCAAACGGTCATGGGATGTGCGCGCATCAGTGTTAGCCCGTAACACCCATAATTTGATAAGAAGTATTGTTGAAAACCTCCAGGTGGAACCAAATCCTAACAAACCCTTAATTGCACTTTCCGTAGGTGAGTTACGCTTTGTGTTTTCTTTCGCTTTAATTTATGAATTAAAATCATAGTTTTATCTTCTTATACCTACCTGCTTAGCCTACCCCTTACGAGGCCCAAACCTTCCGCCCAAAGGTGTTATTATAGGTCGACAACATGATGCGATATTTCGTCATACTTCTATTGCGTCGTTATCATCGCAGCAATGTGTAACTTCGTAGGTAGACACACTCAGACATAATGTGCTAAAAACAAATATCGCAAAAACGCATCCGATATTATCGACCGATACGCGCAATAATGCGCCTATGGATGCGGGGTGTGAGGGCGAAATTAGTTAAATATGTTTTATGCTAATAGGGCAAACAAGCACATGGCCCGCCTGATGGTAAGCGCCCACCTTAGCCTAACTGTCGCTTGCGATACAAAAAATATCAATCATCTCCTATAGAGGAGTGACAGAAACGAAAACAATAAAATCAGGACCCTTAGTACGAGTGCGAGCTCACGAAAACTATCATAGTTTTCGTAATTGTAAAACTCGTACTAAGGGTACTGTTGTATTCATTTATTTACCGAGCGAGCAAATGTTTGCTCGTTCAGAACTGTTTTGAGCTTAAGTGGAAATGCAGCTTAGTGTGGGGAGTATTCACTGTAGTAGTATTCTGCCAACATTGTGCAATTTCATAATGATAGATAGCGCTGGTGGTATATCTAAGGGTGATTGGAAGATAAGTGAAAAGCTTTAAAGGGATGTTCGCATAGACCATTTAGAACCAGTTGATAAGTTATGTTTGTTTTGACGAATAACGTATGTTTTTTTAAAACTCATATTTATAAATGATGGTAATTAGCCTAAAATGGTACATTTAGAACGAATGAATTAAAGTAGCATAATTTTCTATACCGGGCATTATAGTTTCAATAATTTGTAAGCTATTCGCATTAATGAAAAGGAAGTAGAATAACCTGGCATGTTTTAAAAAGCTTTGGATAAAAAAAGCAAAAGCTGTGTTTTTTATAGGCGTAACAATATAAAATTTATTTCATTTTAAAAATTTACATACTATAAAACTTCAATTCAGTTGGAGGAGCTCGATGGCGCAGCAGGTGGATAACGCGTTCGACCTGTGGAAGTAAAGTAACTTTCGTAATGGTCGGTCATTGGTAGGGTGACCAAAAACTTATTACCTCGAGCTGCTCCGTGCTTCGAAAAGCACGTTAAGCCATTGGTCCTGGCTGCATCAGCAGTCGTTAGCATTCACCAATCCGTACTGGGCCCGCGTAGTGGGTTATGGCCCAATCTCCCTATCCATAGGGAAGGCCTGTGCCCAAGCAGAAGGAACATTAATAGGCTGGTGAGAATGATCATAAAACTTTGGTAAAAATAATTCCGATTATTTAGACGATTTAAACATGTTTTTTTAACTTTAATGAAATAAATTGATAAATAATTAATTCATCAACCAAACTGGCCACTATATGCAACAAATTGTTCCATTTTGTTTTTTTTAACCAAAAGTCATAAACATTAGTTAATAAAATGTCATACTTTGTCTGAGACACACATGGCTCTAATGGTTCAAATGGTCTATGCAAGTTTTACTTTAAAGCAGCTTTGCACCCACTTCCAATCACCCTATATAAAAAATATAAGAAGCATAGCCGATTAATGAGATTTTTCAATACAATATAGATTATTGTTTGGAAATATACAATAAAGGTAGGTATCAATATCTTGTGAACATTGTTGTTAACAAGATGTTATGTATAAATCACGCAGAGTTGTGATTTAACTTTTGAGTTTACACTTTTTTCACAAAACATAAAAATATTTGCGAAAAATCAAAACAAATCGCCTTTGCTTTTTGGTTTTTTATTATATCTCCCAAAAAAAACCTTTTATTTCAGGAAATTTGGTGAAAACTTACCTTTTTATAACCTGAACACGCTCTAATTTTTAGGGTTCCGTACCTAAAGACTAAGAACGGGACCCTATTACTAAGACTCCGCCGTCCATCTGTCTGTCAACAGGCTGTATCGCATGACCCGTGATGGCTAGACAGTTGATTTTTGACGTGACAACGTCTTAAATTAGGTTGCGGCTGGGAGTCACTTATGAAAAAGTGTAACGCTCGGTAACGTTACGATGAGTCTCTCGTGTTAAGTTTAAGTTTACATGTACAATGTTTTAGTAAACAAAATATATTTCTATAGTTAAAATTTGTGCAATTCTTATTTTCATTCAATTCCTTGTTCCTATTGTGCAATTTAATTATATTCATATCAATAAATATTCTACCGAGAAAAAGACGTTGTCACGAAAAATCTTCGCCCGTAAAACCGACTTTACAGGCAACCATTTTTTTTGTTGTATTTATGTTAATAACGGCAACAGGTAGACGCTTGAAATACTTATTCACAGAAAATTTAGTTCTACTTATATTCAGTTTTAAAATAATTAATTCATTTTAAATTAAATAAAGATTTAAGGGGTAAAATAAGTATTTAAGGCAATGCAGGTGATTTTGTGCCGTTTTTTGCTCGATATTATAATATATATGATCAGATCTGATAGCTAGTGACTAATAGATATTGGTACGGAACCCTTCGTGCGCGAGTCCGACTCGCACTTGAACGGGTTTTTTTATACAAAATATTTATTTTTACTCCTTATTTTTTTATATAACATTGAAAAAGAAACCTTATTTTAAATCGAACAATCTCACGTCTAAAAAGGTGCTTTAAAAATATTTTGTTTGTGCGTTGGAACCTTTACTTTCTGATGGTATACAAAAATATATAGGTTTACATGAAAAATCGACCTAGATATTTAAGGATATTATTTATTTAAGTCATTGCTGAAACGTTTAACCATATGACATATTGTCGAAAAGTTAACCGTTTTTTCAAAAAATAGAGGCTGTTTTTTTTAAAGTACCCGTTTTTGCTCTAATTTTATGTTATTTTTTCGTTTCTTGGATCAGATTTTTTTACTTATGTAGAAGGCATGCCAGTCATGTGTTTTCAACACGATAACTGTCATTCCGAAGAAGTGTTTGTGTAGGTATAGCTAGACGAGAACTATACAAATAAAATGGATAGGGAGAGGTGAGAACTCATACCATGGTTTACATGGTCAGCAAGGAGCCCTGATTTGACGCCGATGGATTTTTATGTATTTGGTCATATGAAAGCGTACGAGCAACCTTTATTTATTTATTAAGGACAGTCAAAAAAACAAACAGCAAATAACAATACAAACTGAAAAAGAAATAAAGAATACAATTCTTAGTGCTGCCTTACTTAAAGGCTGCCACTGCATGCGTAAAAATTTACTTACAGAGTAGACTTACGATAAACAAAATAAGGAAATCTAGTACAAACACTTCAAAACCACAAAACTTAATATTAGGTACATATTCATATCCATTCTGTCATCATTCTCTAGACCCAAAAACAGATCCAATTCCAGTCCCTCACTTGCACTTTGTATAGAGAATAACAAGGATACACTGCCGTCAAATCCAAGCCTAGGCCTAGAGAACACTGCCAGAATCGACACCGTTGTGGTGGTATGCTAAAACAATAATATGGTTTGATCTACATTTGAGCAGACTTAAATTTGGAAAGAGAAGAAGACATGCGTAGTACGTAGTACACGAAGACAGCGTACGTGATAGTATGTTATATTGTGACTGAAGTCTATTAATGGTATAAAAATGACCAAGGTTAGTTCTGGAAGCCCGCCCTGCTCGGAAAGGTGCATAACATGAAGGTCGATCAGATTTATATGGGATATTTAAGTTAATCTGCGTTAACAAGTGTGAGCAATCTAAGTGACAGTTAAGTAATTTGAAAAGGAAAATGTGATCATGCATTTTGCGTCGATTTTCGAGACCGTTAAGCTTAAAGTGAATCAGATGCGATCTGTGTGTGGGTAGTTGTTTGGACAAGTAGTGTTTATAAGTTAAGTGCTCCAATAACCTTTTTAATATGGATTCAATACGTTATTATTTTATGAACCTCGTAATATGGTGTCCAAATCACACTGCAGTATTCTAAGCCAGATCTAACCAAGGTGTTGAAAAATGCTATTTTGCTTGATGCTTGTTTAAATTTCTTGCAATTTCGTAATACAAATCCCAAAAGCTTAAAGCTCTTTTTAGTAATAGTGAAGATGCAATATTTTTATTTTTGTTTTCATTTTAAAGAATTCCATGTAGAATAAACCACAGATATATTAAAAAATTAAAATATTGTGATTTATCGGAAAAAATGCGGTTTTAAATTGACAATTTAAATTTTCGCGCGAAAACGAACCTATGGTTGCGATGACGTCACTCCTGTCTGTCACTGGTCGTACTTGTTCGTCGCTGGCTTTAAATTTTCATACTTATGCATGTTTTTTCGACTATCGAAATCTTTTTTTGAAAAATTTAAAATGGACTATCCATCAACATGATGTGATCATAACAATACCACTAATATTCCGAAAAAAAGCCGTGTTGACTCATGTTTAGTGCCAATTCACTTCAACAAAGTTTCCAAAAAATTGTTTTTGACTGGAACTTCTAACCCAAAACTGAAAAAAAAGTGGTTTCAAGCTGCGAAGAGAAATGACAATTATTCTCCAAAGACCATTATTCGATGCTGTGAAGATCACTTTGACGTAAGTCGGCGAATATACTTGTTAAATGCTTAATTAATCTGCTTGTAAGTAAAAACGCATTAGTAACCTACCTAATACTTACTAAACCTGTCTATAACCTATTTTTAATTTTACAATTGGAGAATGACGTCGAAAATAAGATAAAGTTTAAAATGTGTGGCATAATCTTCACATTGGCAGGACTGAACCAAGCTTTGCGTTTCATTTAAAATAACTGTAACACGATAACCTTCTTTACGCACTTTATGCTCCGGAGAACTCGACCTTTTACTGTACATAATTCTCCATCTCTTTTAGTTTGGACATAGCCGATTGCATTATCGCCGTAAGATTTGTAGAAGCCGCTGAATAAAATACGAAGTTTAACAACTACGATTTTTACATACCGTAGTAATATCGTCCCTTTCATTTCTACACTTAAAAACTCTGCACTTTGGACAAAAAATGTTATAACCATGTCAATACTAACTCTTGGTAAATTCCTGGAGTCTGCTTTGATAAACGCAACTTCCATTTTTATTAAATGTAAAAAAACGCAATAAATATTCCCATAAAATAATATTTACTTTAACAACCATAACCTCAAAGAAGTTGTCATAACAGGAGTGACGTCACTAAACGCTGATTGGTGTTTTAAAATACGTTCTGTTTTAAGTATTTTTAATTCGTAATAATTGTTAAAAAACAACATTATGTAAAATAAAAACGTTGCAGTGGCATTTCTTTTATATTGTTTTAACATTTGAAACATAAAATTTTCATAAATATTATATATGCATCTTCCCTATTTTGTCAATATATATATGAAAACGAAGTTTTTGATCCATCAATACACCTAAATCACGAACAATGTCTACTACTCCGATTATATCATTATTTATTTTATAGGTATTAAAAGGAGGAGATTTTTTCCGAGAGAAGTATATAAAGCTTCGTTTTGAAATGTTAAGTTTCATAGAATTTACTTTGCACCAGGTAGAGAAACGATCAAGATCATCCTGTAGGAGTATAGGATCATTAACATTATCAATTAACTTGGCGATTTTTAGGTCATCTGCATATAAGTGTATTTCAGAATTCAGAAAGCAGGAAGCGACGTCATTAATGAACGCGTTAAAGAATAAAGGCCCCAAGAGTGATACCTGTGGGACACCAGAGGTTATCAAAAACGACAACCTTATCCAATTTAATAAGCCTACTTCACTTAGAATTTTATACAATTCGAAAAGCTAAAAACATGAGTGAGATATTATTACTTGCAGGTTAACTTCCAAACATTTATTTTTAAATAAACCTTTTGGAAAGTTGTGAAAACAGAGTAAAAAGTCTACATTCAAAAAGTTAAAATAGCTGCCACTTTTACCTGATAGCAATCTTTTTAAGTTTTATTATTTATTTTTATGGACTGGCCTTCTATATAAAAACTCAAAAAAGTCTGATCTATTTATAAAAAAAGTTGTGTGGAATTTAACCTGCGAGTTATTTTAATAACTTTCACATGTTTTTAGCTATCCAAAATGGTATAAAATTAAAAGCAAAGTAGGCAAATAAACGCTGAAATGAAGAAAAAAGTGATCTCAGACCATAAATTGTTAATGTTTATAAATAAACCATAACCTATAAATATAATAAACAAATTAAAAGAACTAAAACGACATTTTATGAAGTGAAACGCGATTATTTAATATATTTTTATAAATCCCTGGTATCCAGGGATCGTGAAAAGTCGAATATGAAGAAGAATGACAATAATTTGAACACTTTGCTTTGTTATCGTTCAAAAAGTGTTTTATGAAAAGAGGAAACACATGAAATGTATTTTTTTTATTTAACTATCTAAGTACTATTTGAATATCGACCCATAAATTAAGGAATATTCGAATATCTTCCGAATATTTCCATACCCTAGATGGAGATTACTTCGCTTGACGCAGGGTAATCCGTAGCTATGCCGTATCCCCGTTAATGAATAATATACCTATTATATGACATTTGTTAGCCCTTCATAAATATTTTTTTTTCTGAAGCATTTTCATTTGCGAGGGAATTAATTTCCCTGCATTAGGCGCTATAAAAATATGTTTCTTATTCACCTTTTCCAAAACGGCTGAATCTTTCGGTTAGTATCTCCCTAGCACTTAGGTACTGTATGGTGCGGAGTTGGAATGCGTAGTACTCAAGTCAGTTTTCGCAATGGCCGGCTATCAGATGGGTAGCCAGAATTGTATTACCTATTTCGAGTGTGCATTTGTGCCTGGATAGGCAAGTTAAGCAATCATGGGTTGAACAGATTCGTTAGCAACTACTATTATGTATTCTGTGGTTACGGCCCGGTTCTCCCAATGGGAATCTGTCGAATGGGCAAGGCCTGTGCCTCAAAAGTAGCGATATTATTAGGCTGATGAAGACTTTGTTGGCGTAGCTTCTCGACCTACAAAAGTGCTTGTAACAACTTTACTGAATAAATGATATTGAATTTTATGGCCTAATTGTTTTTGAACCAGAAATGAGGTGATATGTATAAAATACATTAATCTAAAGAATAGTTTTCAACCAACAACTTGTTTTATTTATTAATTAGCTAACCGTTCAAGGATAACTTCTATTTCATCGTATTTCATCATATTTTTTAGCGAACGAAAGGGAATGCCTAATTCGCATTATGAGTCTACGTGTGTGTACGTAAGTATAACGTTTTATCTAAACATCGATTTGCTTTTAGGTGATCCAACGGTGTTTGGTAATTTGAATCCCCCAGAGCAAGTCCTCCAAGCAGTTCGAGAGAGCATAGAATGGTCTTCAAGTCGAGGTTACGGCTCAATGGTGGGTCATCAGGAGGCTAGGCAGGCGGTGGCGAAGTACAGTGCTCATCAGGGCCCAGTCACTGGTGACGACGTGATACTATGTAGTGGATGCTCCCATGCCATTGAGTTGGCCGTCACTGTACTTGCGGACTCTGGACAAAATATTCTCGTGCCTCGGCCTGGGTTTATGATATACAAAACAGTAGCCGAAGGTTTAGGGATAGAGATAAAACATTACGATCTTTTAGTAAGTTTCGTTTTATATTTATTTATTATTTAGTTTTCTAAAGGTTTTACTTCTTATATAATGGAGTTAAACTAAAACATGACTTCTTCAGTGCGAGAATATATTTTCATAGTTAGCTATTTTTCCAAAGTTCCTTTTGGCATTTTTTTTTGCAAAATCGCTAATTCACACGTCCGGTATAGTTGATATAAATAAATGGATTATATGGATATTCGTACTGGTTTCTAGATTAAAACGGGTTTCAACTTATTGTAAACTAAATTTGCATACTGCTTACTCTTATACGCACTTGGTTCCTTATAACTGCGTAGGTAAATCCTTGTTAAAGGTTACACATTATCATATGTATTTGTTTTTTTTTGCAGCCAAATCAGCAATGGAAAGTTGATTTGGAAGACCTAGAGAATCAAATAGATGACGACACAGCTGCGATAGTTGTAATCAATCCGTCTAATCCATGTGGATCCGTTTACACAAAAGAGCATTTGAACGAAATTCTCGAAATAGCTTCAAGAAATTGTGTCCCGATTATTGCCGATGAGATTTACGAGCACTTCGTCTTTACCGGTCATGAGTTCACAGCCATGTCATCTTTATCCCAAGATGTACCCGTACTCACATGCGGTGGACTGACAAAACGATTCCTAGTACCAGGTTGGAGAATGGGATGGTTAATAATACACGATCGACAGAATATATTAAGGAAAGAAGTGCGCAAGGGCTTATTTAATTTAGCAAGTAAAATACTAGGACCCAGTACTTTGATACAAAGAGCTCTGCCGACGATACTTGAATCAACACCACAAAGTTTCTTCGATGAAGTTGTTTTGTTTATCGAGGTGAGTGGAAGTTTCCAGACAGAGCTCGAATCCATTCATGCACTTATCCTAACCGGTATTGAGGAATTTACATTAATAGTAAAGGTTCCTGCCGCTCTCGTTGAAAATGAAAAGCATAAGAAACATTTCAAATTCATCCCGGGTACGCAATAAAACACTTGGTTAAATAAAATTATACTTCAAATACCTAATTAAACATAATTATATAATAATATAAGTATGTTTATGATGATCGAAGTTAAACATAATTATATAAAAATAGAATAATGTTTATGATGATCGAAGTTAAACATAATTATATAATAATAGAATTATTTTTAAGTAGGTATTTGAAGCAAATTAGTAATAAAAATAAATTTGCAGAAAAAGCTTTAACATACTAATTCGATGCATTGCGCCAAGCTCATGTTTAGAACTTTGAGGAGCCAAGACGAAGTTTAGTTCCTTAATCTTTTATCAAAACGTCCACACCCATTTTGCCCTTAGTCTGTGTCCGTCCGTCCTTAAGTACACGATCCCTAATAAAAATAATGAGATCTTTTAGTGATAAGACCAATCGTGGGATTCCATTGATATCTCGGGTTAACTATTTATTAGGCCGAGGAAAAAGTATTTATGTGTTTTGTATGCACTTGCACCTATCAAGTTTTGATAAAATCTCTTTGGTTGTTTTGTTAGCATTAGCTAGGCACGGATTTTTCCTAGGAAGGCTGCCGCCAGTTGAACTACATTTATTCTGAAATTACTTTTTATGAAACTCGAATTTTAGGGTGGGCAGAAAGATTTCCAGTGCAATGCAATGTATAATAATCAATAATCTAAGCATATATTGTTCAAGTATACCTCCTATATGAGGTAGTAAGGTGGTGGCAGAATACCAGCGTTAAGTCAAAACTTGACTGTCACATGCCGAGCCACATACCATTTTGTTTCAATTAAAATATCATCATCATCATCAGCCTATTAATGTCCCCACTGCTGGGGCACAGGCTTCCCTATGGATGGAATAGGGAGATTGGGCCATGACCCACCACGCGGGCCCAGTGCGGGTTGGTGGGTGCTAACGACTGCAGATGCAGCCGGGACCAACGGCTTAACGTGTCTTCCGAAACACGGAGGAGCTCGAGATAGTAAATTATGGTCACCCATCCAATGACCGACCACTGCGAAAGTTGCTTAAATTCAACGATCGCTGCGGAACGCGCTAACCACTTGCGCCATCGAGCTCCTCAATTAAAATATACTTTATTCTATTTGTGTATTGCACTAATTTTAAATTGAAACCAATGAATTATTTATTATTATATTCGCTATATATATATTTTTCAGAACCAAGCCAAATTGGCTTATGAGGAATTACGTCAAGTTCCAGGCTTAAAGCCGATCATGCCACAGGGAGCCATGTATATGATGATCGAAATCAAGATGTCACAGTTTCCAGAGTTCAAAAGTGAACTTCAATTCGTCGAATGTATGGTCTCAGAGCAGTCTGTATTTTGTTTGCCTGGAGAGGTAGGTTGTTTTATCATTATCTTATTGCTGCATAGCAGGTCTTCCTTAGATAGCGACGCGTAGAAAGAGTGAATCGTAAGGTGGTGCGGACTTTTGGATGCTATAAGCAACTGGTCTACGTTTAGAGGTCGAAGCACGAATTTCGACAACTCCGTAATCTTATCGCATCGTCAAAGTTTATATGATAACAAAGCAGCGCACCTACCGGACTTCAGAACAAACTGGCTCGACAAAAAGAAATTGACGGTGACGATATGATTACGCTGTCAAAATTCGTGCTTGATGGGCCTCAGAACCTACACACTGCATATGCTAATTTTACTCTGCTTTAATGAATTGATATACAGGGTGGAAATTTTGAATGCCACCCCCAGGGGAAGTACTCTAAATACTGGAGATAGATAATTTTAATCAAAGGAAACATTCCTTTATTTTTAAAAAGAAATACAACTGCTTTTACAGTTTTTCGAAAATTTGCTTGCCACACCCGGGAATCGAACTGGCATAAATTCGAATAAATGACACCTGTATTTTTATGGCATCGATCGATAGGGGCAATCATAGGGATCATATCTTACTAAAAGACTTAGTACATTAAATTAAAGGAAAAACATGAATCGACCTGCTGAGGACGTTGCTGTTGCTGTCGCCTTTTGTAACTTCCAGTATTTTTTAAATTATCTACCATTCTCTTTAAAACGAATCGAGTTGGTACTTGTCGATCCGGATATGTCTCTCCATACTACCGCAGAGCTAAATTCACATCTTTGTGATTTAAAAAATATGCTTCAATTAAATCAAATTGTTCTTGATAAGCCATTATATTGTAAATTTTGATGCAGCAAACAAGACTTAAGGCAATGCGTTCTAATTCGCTATTCCATTTTCAAAAATATGTAACATACCTCTTTGCATACCTCATTTAAATTACTGGTACCAAAGAGGTTGTACGCCCCCCCCCCCCCCTGAGACTGGTACCTTACTGGACTCTTTAGTCTGCATTTTAGACATGTGCAAAAAAATCTTTATTCGTTATTTGAATGAATAAATGACGTCGAAGATAATAAAAGTACTAACTCGTGTAATCTGGTGGGATAAAACTGCTTTTAGCCTTGTTCCATTCAGTTAAGATTTCACGCTTTTCGTTCCATTTAATGTACTAAGTTTGCTAGTAAGATATGATCCCTATGATTGACCCTATCGATCAATGCCATTAAAATATAGAGTGTATTTTTTTCGAATTTTCGCTAGTTCGATTCCCAGATGTGGCAAGCAAATTTTCGAAAAACTGTAAATGTAGTGGAGTTTCTTTTTAAAAATAAAGGAATGTTTCCTTTGAGTAAAATTATCTATCTCCAGTATTTAGAGTACTTCCCCTGGGGGTGGCATTCAAAATTTCCACCCTGTATATATATATATATATGGAATAAATATGGAATGGTAATTGATATGACACGTCCGAAGGTTGTCAATCTTATCGCTTCGGAATGGAACAAACCTGTTAAAAATGCTGCGCTGATCAACGAGTAGGGTAAAAGCCGGATAGTTGCCGTAGTTGGTTGCTAACCCCGGTTTCGAGTACATTATGTTAGGGATGTTGTTGGCTTTAGTGCTCTTCTATAACATAAAAGTATCTTTCTCGAAGGCTTTTATGTTAATCGTGGAATTAGGCGCACGCGTTTTTCGCGTGAGCAAATAACTTTGATTCAAAACGTTGATCAATAGCAGCAACCACAAAAATAAAGTTCAAGTGCGAGTCAGATAAAAACAATCAATGTTATAAACTGCTTACACTTATTGATATAAATATGTTTATATCTTAAAAAACATAGTGAGTAGTCTATTCCCACAAGGGACAAGTACTTCTCGAATAGTTTTTAACATTAGGGTATTATCAGCTCGAGTTGGCAACTATCTCTTTTTTGAGTGGTCTCTAAAACCGGATTTACTCAAAACCGATATTAATTACCTTTACACTTAGCCTTTACAAAAATATGCTTCTATGAAAGATGAAGGATAGATAGGCTATTGGTATAAATGATGCATCACTACTTGTAGGCCCATATTTTTGAACAATAAAGCTTTATTGATAAGTGGGGCAACTATCCAGCTTTTCCCCTATGCATGTGGCCCTTGATAGATGTGTAATTAAATATACCTATTTTGACGAAATTCGGATATTTTCAAAAAGTCTTATCCTTAGAGCATTTATACCTTATCTAATACCGAAAGTCATTGTAGAAACTAAGGACTTATATTTCAAAAATATTTCGACGGGTGCAAAGTAAATAAATTCAACTACAAATTCACGTTTTTCTTTGTACTTCATTTTCTTACTAATCAAACAAGACGCCACAACCTGACATATTTTGTTTTGCAGATTTCACTTTATTTCAATCAATTTTCGAACGTATAAAAAGCCATCTACGCATGTTTTGTAAATAGTACGAAGTCAATGCGACCAAGTAACGTTGGTCGTTTCAACGCGGGGCGCGAGGCGGGCTCCGAGCGCGCGTAACATGACATCAGGCAGTTGGCTCACTTGTCACCGGCGGCGCGCGCGTACCTTTTACGTTAAGAAAAGATTTTTTCTTTAACGGCAGCAATTTCGAGGTGTTATTCTATTCTCCATTTGCATTAATCCTTACAATTTCAAAATTAATAAAGAACGACGCAAACTGCAATTAGGAAGAATAAGAAAATAACTGGACATCAAGGAAACGGATGGACTTTTAAAACTAAAAAAATATAATAGCCGTTAATACTGAGGCTGCTATGTATAACTATACGGAAGGACGTAATGTATGTGTATACATCCGAATGGATGGTATGTATAACTAGACGGAGTAATTAGTATTTGGGACACTAAAGCGGTTCAATGGAACATAGCCATACTTGGCTGGGTTCCGGCGAACTGTTTTGGTGTAAGCAATCAATACAATATAAACACTACACTAAACTTGTGTAGAAATATATAAAATAACATATATTATTAGTAATTAATGTTGTATATATATAAACATTATACATATGAACATATATATAATATCATATAATATCAAATATATAATCAAAAATACATACCCACAGTGAAACACGAATTAAACATATCATGAACACCAAAGGTTTTGCTGTATCAAATCGCAGCACACCAAACCTGCAATCTGAAAAACAAACACATAATTAAAAAAAAAAACTAGACGGAGTATACACAACCAACTGGTAGATGGCTCAGTTAGCATTTTTTAAAGTACGATGTAAGAACGGCTATCTGCAAAATCTCGAAAATTTTCAAGAAATTAGCTAAACTAGCTTAATATACAAACATATAAGAGTCTAAATAGATTATGATAAAACTTTCTGAATTATTGGCCCACTCATTAGAAAAATAATACACTTTTTCGATCTTTTCGCTCTCCTGTAAAGTTGCTATTTTGCAGACGTCTGTTTTTACTTTGCACCCGTCGATTTAGAAATCAAAGAACAATGACTGGTTTCCATATATCGGTGGACTTTTAATAGATTTTTTAACATTGTACAATGAAACTAGAGTGTAGAGATACCTATATCATATCATGGCTGGGTAGGTACAATAAATTCTGAAAAAGTAACAAAACCTTTTTGAGCTTAAATACTTAGGTATAAGTACAGTAGAACCCGTTTAATACGATCACACTTAATACGATTTCTCGCATAATACGCCATTTTGCGTAAGTCCCTGCAACTTGAGACATGTTTTCATACATTTCTTAACGCTTAATACGATTCGTCATCCCGTTTAATTCGCCTAAATCGCCAACACGTACCACATATATATTATCTCTTGAAGCAGCATAAAATTCAATGAAAATGTGAATAACACAAGAAGAGGCCCTTAGTGATAATGATCAAGAAGAAAATGAGTCAACTCCAATTTTGTCACACGCCCAGGCATTATCAGCAGTTAATGATTTAAGACGCTATGTAATTTCTTTGAATCAAAGCGTAGGCGCACTGCAAAAGTTAAATTATGTTGAAAATCTTGTAATTGCTAATGCCTCAAAATCTTTACATACATAATTCTTAATTTCATAATACATAATTTCGCTCGAGGATCTGACAACCGTTGGGTAAGAAAGGTCCTCGAGTGGCGACCGGACGACGCAGCGTGGGGCGGCCCCCAACACGGTGGACTGACGACATCGTTAAATGTGCTGGGAGCCGCTGGATGCGGATAGCGTAGGACCGCGCATTGTGGCGTTCTATGGGGGAGGCCTAGGTCCTGCAGTGGACGGAGAAAGGCTGATGGATGGATGGATGGAAATAATTCTTAAATATTGTACATTTTATACCTCAATACCTACATTCGAAATTTCCCTATCCCGCAATCCCCCATAATACGCTTTCCCGCTTAAGACGCGTTTTTGGTTGAGTCCCTGTGAAATCGTCTTAAACGGGTTTTACTTGTTCCTATCAAAAACCAAAGGTTTAACAACTTACTCTCCGTTATGATTTTTTCAGTGTTTCTGCTACCCAAATTACATGCGGATCGTATTAACAGTTCCCGAGGACATATTGAGAGAAGCCTGCCAGAGGATAGCCGTATTTTGTCAAGATCATATTAAATCCAGGGATAAAATAAATGAAATTGATAGCAACGATGTTCTACTCTCCAATGAAACTATATAAGGTCATTATTTTGAGATTCTTGTGATTAAAGTATTCAACCATCTAAAATGTCTGTTTTATTTGGTAGGTAATGTTGGAACGAAGTTCTTTTTTTGGACGATACGGGCGGCGGGTGGTATTCCATTAATTTAATATTAATGGCATATCATCTAATACCTAAGTGGTAATTTCACGTATTTTTGTAAAAGCTTACGTAGTTAGGGTTTTTTTTGTAGTCCAATTGAACTGATATTCATTCTATAATTAATTATTGCAATATACCTAATTAAAGTCATTTTATAACATACGAATTTTAGGATGGGCAAACAGGTTTCTGTGTGTTCGGACAGGTTTCTGTGTGTTGTCAGAAACACACAGAAACCTGTCCCATGAAGTTATATAACATCATGGCTAACCCTTATTTTATAGATTGGCTATGAAGTTGTCAAAACGAGATCTAATAAAACTTCATGTCAAAATCTGATTGCACTATTGTGTAGATGTGCATGTGAAGAAAATTTGAAAAAAAAATAATGTGCTGTGCCATGTATTAATTAATTGCATATTCTATCGACCTACCTTAATTTCTTTATTAACAAAACATAATGGACACTATTTTTTTATTTCGTCATATCAATCAAAAAATTACAAAGGTAAAGCGCGTTTTAGTTCTGGAGTGGGGGCTCGTGCGTGACGTCACTTCTAAGTAAGAATTGTACCAAGAAGTGACTCATGCGACATTTCAAATCAATTTAACTCTGTAATGTTTTGATTATATGAATAAAGAAAAACATAGAAGTGCGAGTCGGACTCGTTCACGAAAGGTTCCTGTTCTGTACAACTAATATGTTAAGTTATTATTTACAAATTATAATATATATACATATGTTTATCCAAGTTTATCAGAAAAAATGATATAAAAATTTAGTTTATCTATATATTTATATTTTTACTATAGTTCCCATTATTTACCTATATTTTCCTACCTACTCCACTGTTGTTCCTTGTTCTTGTTTATCGCAAATCTCTCTTTTTATTTTCTTGTTCATATCGTTTCCTTATTTTTTCCCATCTGCAACTACCACATATCCGAGTACCAACTATTCATATTCCGCTTCTTTAATCGATCAAGTTTAATCGATTTGCTACCTAATTACATCAAATGAAACTTGCATATGGCAATTGGCAACATTAGCCGTCATGCCATAATAAAAGAAGAAGAAGTCTGTGGCATTAAACCTTGTCTCTCCCTTCAAACGGCAAACGGCCGACTGTCGGCAATTGTTATGTGAGCGGCGTATGCACTTGGCCGTTGAACTGGATCAAGACATTATAGTCCAGTCGGAATAAACATGAGACCTATTCTAAGACACCAGCGCTTAGCCAATTTTTTCCTAGATAGTATAGACCCCCACGAATATGCCCTCCATTTGTCCCCGCTAGAACCCGTGTTTTGTAGCCAGGAAAATTGTTTAACCCATTCTTGACCACTGTACCAATTTCGGTACACTTAATTAATGAGGGTAGGTAAAAAATATATTGAAGTTGGTCAATGTATTTTTATATTAATGAATAGTCAAAAGTATCCTGAATAAATATAATATTCATCTATTTCATAAAAGTGTATTGTGTTTGGATAAAATTCAATAAAAAAACGATAACAAGGGACTCGTAAAGGTAAGTACCTGCTTGTAATTTTTATTATTATATGCAATACAGATTTCCATATGAATAGTTATATATCCCTATGAACAATAAATAACCAAGCATATAAACCGATTTCCAGTTCCGAAAACTATATACATAAGTCATTATTACATGTAAAATATTGGTGTACCAATTTAGGAACAACGGCTACAAGTATATTACTTTTCGCAGATTATCAAGAAGAATCACAAACGACGTTATAGCGCTAGTAACCAATACCGTGGTTTGGAGGAGGCCCTAAATACTATACTCGAGGATAGTGACGATGGTTTGGAGTATGACTTGGCCATAATTCCACTAGAACCAAGTGTTGTTACCGACTGATGTACTCCAAATTATTCTAAGAGTTACGTAGAATCCGACGACCGTTTGGGTAATGACAATCGTATGAAAGAAGAATTGACAACCGTTAAAATATTTGAAAAGTTTTTTGACGATGAGGTGTTTACTATGATTGTGGAAGTCTACCATCAGTCAGCTGTAAGCGAGCCCAAACAACAGTCACAGTTTTTCCATCACTGTTACTGAGCTGAAGGTTTTCTTTGAAATATTGATATTTTTTGGTTACCACAAACTGCCGCGAAAAAGTTTGTATTGGTCACTTGATAAAGATATTGGAGTTGAGGTAGTATCCAAGGCTATGTCTCGAAACAGATTCAGACAATAAAAAGAAAACTGTACCTGGTGGACAATAATGACGCTCCGAACACCACTGATATGTTCAAAGTTCAAAAGCTTTCATGCTCATTACAAAATGACATGCTTATTACAAAATTTAGCTTGCATGTTCTTTCAAGAGAAAATGACGCCATGGACCAGTTGTTATTTCGACAAAACGAAATTGTAAGGTTTTACCTAAAACGAGCTACACAAAGAGTCGCCTATCTTCATCCAACATCGAGGGTTTACAACTAGATGATGCCGAACATCTTCCTGAAAAGCTCCCAAAACGGATGCGCTGTGTTATCTACCATAATAGAAGTCGCAGGGGTTGTAAAAAGTATAAGAAAATACTCTGCATAGAAAAACTTGTTTTACCAACTTTCGTTCATAAGTGGCCACTGTGCCAATTTGGGCACACGCCTGTAATTCCTGAAAAATGTCATTTAAATTATTTTTTTCTTTTTTATATGTTTGTTTGTATTCCTAATATTAAGTAAATAAAGGCTTTTCTTTTTTACAACTGCTCATTTTCATTTGGCCGTAAATGGGTTAAACAAAGAAAAACCGGTTTTTTTGAGTTTTTTTGCTTGTAAACGGGGATTTTGAAATTTTTTTTGAATCAAAGTTGTTCATTAGCTTGCCCTCTACAAAATCAGTTCTATGAAAAAATAATGTGAGATTGTTAGTTTAGCAGTAAATTGCAATTATGTCGGTTTTACGTTTGCAACAATTCAACATGTTATAATAAACATTTTGATTTCTAAAGTAGTTTATCATGTGGGTAACGCCACTCCCAAGAGAGTCATGTAAAATTTATCGACCTGTGTCGCAAACTTTAGCAACAATTCTCAATCTCCGAAAAAATAGGACTTGCCTGTCCCGTCTTTCCCAGAAGGCGCACAGCGGGGGAAAAAATTCAGGTGATTCGATTCACCAAGAATTTTGAGGAATCAATCGAGTAGAAAAAAATCTTTAGTAAAAATGTTCGTTTTTGGACGATTTAATTTTTTTTTAAAAATTGACGTAGAATATTTTTTTTTTAAACTAATGTATTTTTCTCTCCTCAACTCGAATATACGATTGAAAATTTAAAAAAATCAGTTTATTTATGTACAGAAATTATTTATAAAACTATTAACTAAAATTCGATTACAAGACTGCGTTGTATTCTATATTTCTAATTAAATTAATTTCGTCCTTTTTTCTTTCGGTTCATAATCGGAATTCTCAGGGTATATTAGTATTATATATATATATATTATATATATATATATATATATATATATTCAGAATAGTATATTCGAGTTGAGGAGAGAAAAATACATTAGTTTAAAAAAAAATTATTCTACGTCAATTTTTAAAAAAAAATTAAATCGTCCAAAAAGGAACATTTTTATTAACGATTTTTTTCTACTCGATCGATTCCTCAAAATTCTTGGTGAATCGAATCACCTGAATTTTTTTTCCCGCTGTGCGCCTTCTGGGAAAGACGGGACAGGCAAGTACTTTTTTTTCGGAGATTGAGAATTGTTGCTAAAGTTTGCGACACAGGTCGATAAATTTTACATGACTCTCTTGGGAGTGGCGTTACCCACATGATAAACTACTTTAGAAATCAAAATGTTTATTATAACATGTTGAATTGTTGCAAACGTAAAACCGACATAATTGCAATTTACTGCTAAACTAACAATCTCACGTTATTTTTTCATAGAACTGATTTTGTAGAGGGCAAGCTAATGAACAACTTTGATTCAAAAAAAATTTCAAAATCCCCGTTTACAAGCAAAAAAACTCAAAAAAACCGGTTTTTCTTTGTTTAAACAATTTTCCTGGCTACAAAACACGGGTTCTAGCGGGGACAAATGGAGGGCATATTCGTGGGGGTCTATACTACCTAGGAAAAAATTGGCTAAGCGCTGGTGTCTTAGAATAGAAGTCGGTCCAAATTATGGCTATTCCGACTGGACTATTAGCAGAATCGTCACGTAACGTCAAAGATTGAATTGGCCATGCCGATATTCGTGAAATCGAATTGAAATGATTATACCAAGTTTTGATTGATATTTCTGAAAATTCAGTACCCACAAAATACCTAATAACATAATGAGAGATGAACGGAATCATTGCCACTGTTTTAGTTACCTATTTAACAGAATATATTTGATACTTTGGCAACAAACATTACATAAATAATCTTGCCAATTGCCTAATGCCAGTCAATAACATTGTCATTTTAAATTATAGTTTTTTGGCAAACGATTGACAATTAAGTGCACAACATGCTTACTACATGTCATAAATATTTGCAGTCTGCTGAAGACTGACTACCACCCTCCATACACGGACCTATCTCCATAAAAAAATTGCAAGTTGTGCTAAAACAAACAAACAATTTTTCCTGTTATAATAAGATTGGCTATAAAAGAATACGGAATATTGTCTTTACCAGGACAAGAGTCTTTAAAATTAGCAAGGATTCATTTTAGCTCTTGCATAGAAAATGGAGAATTTAGACCGGAATTATTTTGATACGGTGAAAGTACTAATAACTCTTTTACTGATGTTGGAACCAAGTTATCCATGAATTTTTCGGCTAAATCTAAAGATAGACTACAGATAGATGGTTCAGCAAAAGCCGAGCGAAATCTACGTATGTTACGCCAAATTAATAGATGGATGGGTTTGAGGACAAAC